GATAGACAACTTTTTCTAGAATTTTACCCATGAAAGGCAGATTTGAAATGGGCCGATAATTTTTAAGTGCCAAGGCATCCAGACTCCTCTTTTTTAGGAGGGGTCTGATGACTGCCGTTTTCAGGGCCATTGGGAATGTTCCAGATTCAAGAGACATATTTACTATATGCGTGAGTGAAGGTAAAAGACTGCTCAGAACAAATTTAAGAAATCTAGGAGGTAATACATCCAGGCTACATGTAGAAGAACTCAGACTTGTAATTATCATTTGGAGAGTTTCATTTTGTACTGGTGTAAAGTGTGTCAGCCCAAAAAGCTTCACTGGCTGTTGGATTGTAATTTCTACTGTGGAGGTGATGGCATTTTTGATGCCTTGGACTTTGTCATTAAAAAACTCTGCAAACTCATTACATTTGGTTTTGGAGGTAAGCTCTGATGGCATCTTAACAGGGGGATTTGTCAATTTATTTACTGTTGAGAACAGAACGTGTAGATTGTTACTGCAACCTTCGATTGTTTCGGAAAAATAAGTTTCCCTCGTTCTACGTAGCACACTGTTGAACTTGCACAATGCATCTTTGAAGATCTCATGGTCAACTTGGAGATTTGACTTTCGCCACTTCCGCTCGGCTCTCCGGCACTCTCTCTTCTGTGCCCTGACAGAGTCCGCTTTTGTCCATGGCGCCTTTTGCTTATTTGTAACAATTTTGACCTTTACAGGAGCAATCGTGTCCAGAACATCCAAAACACTAGAGGTGACAGAGTTAAGTAATTCATCCACAGTAGAACACAACGTGTTATCAAAGTTTATCATCCCCATGAAAAGTTCACCTGTATTTTTGTTTATGTGTCTTCTTCTTCTAACAATTGAGGATTCAGCTCGTGCTTTACTATTGAGACACATATTCAAAAATACACAGAAATGATCTGACAGAGCAACATTGGCCACATTTACATTTGAGATATTAACCCCTTTAGTAATTAGCAGATCGAGAGTGTGTCGTCTGCTATGGGTGGGGCCACTCACATGCTGAGTGAGACCAAAGGTCTCCAGCACAGAGCTCAGCTCTTTCGCGTATCTATCATCAACGTTATCTACATGTATATTAAAATCACCTATGACGACTAAACTATCAAAGTCTGTGCACACAACTGAAAGCAACTCGGTGAAATGATCAGTGAAACTATGACATGACTGTGGCGGCTTGTACACAACAATAATAAGAATAGAAGATTGTTTTTGTTCTATTTTAAAAGAGACATACTCAAATGAGGAAAATTTCCCAAGAGGTACTCTATGGGAGACAATACAATCTTTAAAAACTGCTGCTGTGCCTCCTCCTCTTTTATTTTCTCGAACTTCTGATTCAAATTTGAAATTTGGTGGTGTTGTTTCTATTAAGACTGCATTTTCTGTATTATGGTCAAGCCAAGTTTCAGTCATAAACATAAAGTCAAGATCATAAGAACAGATAAAATTATTAATTAAAAAGGATTTATTGCATAGTGATCTGACATTAAGCAGAGCAAGGTTAAAAATAATATCAGTGTCAGTGGGTTTAGTTGATTGACTACAAAGAATTGGAATTAGATTTCCTGAGTTGGACCGTCTAACTGCTGTCCTTCTGTTATATTTGTGTTTATTCAAATTAAAACACATTTCTGAGCCGGTGCGAGGAACACACACAGTCTCTATTGGTTTAAAAAGTGAACTCTGTTTTACTTTGTTAAGTTCCAGATGCATGACTGAGTAAGTGCCGTTCAGTGGCAGGACTGGTATTACACTGCCAGACGGACAGGGGTCAGTGTTTGCACCACAGTACTCACGCGGTGCTGGAGTGGAGGAGGAAGGTGGTAGTGGGGGCCGAGGGGCCTCGGATGTAAACAGTCACGCCCCCCTCGGGGAGCACTGAACAACATGGCGTAAAAAGTCCATCAATAAACTGGTACCGTATCTGTTCGGGTGCAGACCGTCTGGACGATAGGCCACGTGACGCTTCCAGAACAGGCCAAAGTTGTTCACAAAAACAAAGTTAAAAGTGCTGCATGTAGACTGGAGCCACATATTCAGCGCCACAACGCGACTGTACAAGCAGTCTCCCCGGTTTACAGTCGGGACTGGACCAGAGATAAAAACACACAACCCAGAGGACTGGAGGAGGCGGAATAGATCCATAAAATGCTTCTTTGTGACCTCGGACTGCTGCAGCTTCATGTCGTTGATCCCCACATGCACGATTACCTTTGAAATGGTATCAGGCAGGGAGTGAAGCAGAGGAGGGAGACGGATGAGCAGATCTGGGACAGTAGCTCCAGTAATGCAGTGAGTGACCGCGTTAAAAAAGCGGACGTGCCTCACGATGGAATCTCCAACAATCGGAGTAGTCGGGGCGAAGAGTGGACGTAGCCGCGGAGAGGGCGCTCGGTGTCCATGGCCGGAACCAGCGGGCTCATCCAGGGATGGGTCCGAACCAGGGCGCTGCTGAACACATGGAGGGGAGCGGGGGTGTTGATTCCCAGCTCCGGGCAACCCACGCTGTGTGCACGGAGACGCTGGAGCAGCGAGAGGAGCAGGCTCGGGTCGCTGCTGCTGACCCGGTGAAGGTAAGTGGTGGTGATGCACTGGGGTCAGAGAAGGGGAATGACCACTCTTTCGTCTGAGGACAGCTTCCTTTAAGAGTGTCTTTCTCGCAGTGGACCTGGATCCACGGACAGCAGTAGAGTTTGCTGCAGAGTCCAGGGGTTCTGCTGAGGGGGCTGGAATGTCAGCGGAGAGGGCTGCATAGCGGTTTGAAAGGCTCAGGACATGGGCCACGGCGCTGGATGGCTCCTTGCAGTCCGCAGGCTCTTTATTCCGAACCGGGCACTTAGGTGTAGAACAAGAGGGCCCAAAGCTGACAGATCTCTCCCACACGACAGTGTCACAGTATGCAGCGCTCAGTGACATAAGCCGTGAGTGCTGCCCGCCAGCGACATCAAAAAGTTTGGACACGAGTGACTGTTTATCCTGCAGCTCTGCAGTGAGGCGAAGGACTTCTTTACGGAGGTCTGCAATAGTGGCACGGTCCCTCTCACGAAGCTCCAATGTGAGGCGACTAATGTCGTTCGTGGTCATTGCAGTGTCACTTTCCATGTCTGTGGTACGCTCGTGGTAGCCTCCGAGCTAGCGTATTTCGATTGGGTCTTTGTGTTAAAAGACGTGATGCATATTTTTACATGAGTAAAAATATGCAAGCCTCCTTTTTTGGGCTGGACAGTGCAGCTCGGTAGCGGCGTGAGTCTCTAGAAAGCGTTACTCCGTATCAAGGAAATACTTGCTCATTTCATGTGACGAAAGGGCTGTTGGGGGGGGGGGGGGGGGAGGGCGAGAGAGTGGTGATCTCTTTTTAACTTGAGATTTATCAATGTTATTATGCTTTTATATATATTTTTTGTGTTTTGACCGGTCCCTCGTTGGTCCGGGATCCCTGACCTCTGCTGCATTTAGTCTTGAGTTTGATTGATGGCTCATGTCTCGCTGAAATACGATGCCTCTGATTGACTACGAGACAAATCATTGGAACTCCATGTATTTAAACTGCTGCTAAAGTGGACGGCCGTTCTTAGTTTCATCTGAGGGAACGCTCAGGGGGACTTCAGTACTGTGTTTACTGATTTAAAGTAGAAATATGTAAGATTTTCATGTCCGGTCATCATTAAAGGGCCCTAATCCGTCATTATTAAAGGGCCCTAATCTGTTATAATAATAATCTGTTCTTTTCCAATCCTTCTTTAACTGATAACAGTAGTTCAGAGATATTTGAATTTCTAAATTACTTTTCCTGCCTCTAAATCTTGTTATTGTTTTCATTTCGATGTCCCGCCCTCCACCGTTTCACCAATCAGAAAGTCTGTGATCCGGGCGCCAGAACTCACCGCGTGGAGCTAATCTCACTGGCAAAGTACCATGTGGAGCTAATCTCACTGGTAAAGTACCATGTGGCGCAGAACTAAAAAAGGTCTCGTTATGATTCTCAAATCAATAATGACAAAACAAGGAATAAAACCAGGATTTCTATCTTTGTGAAAAAGGTGTTGGTTATAGATTTGTTGTTGACAAAACTCTTGTCTATTCAGCTGTTATGGTCCCAGCTGGATTCGTCTGCATATCTGGCAACCTGAGTCAGGGAGAGTGGGAGAGGCTGCAGTACCACTTTTGGCCACATGTTTACACACTGCTCCTTTGAGCAATTATTAATTTGTCTGTTATGTTTAATCTTTACAAATGTTTTTACTAAGGCCCAAAAAATGTACAGAGCTATATTTAATATGTTTAGTATTTCGATAACGATATTATTGCAATATTTGTGTCTTTCACCTAAAAATGCTATCTGCGTTGAACCGAGAGAAAAAGTTCTTACAAAAATTAAACTCAACATTAAATACTAACAAAAAATATTACTCAAGTATTTTAGATATTTGTATTTATTTCCGATACACATTTAAAGGAGGAAAGAACCACCCTCTCCACTTTTTGAACAAATCTCTCTGGTCTTATTGGACGAACACGCGTCACCAGAATGATTGACAGTTAGGAGAACCATTAGTCTTGTTGATCCACCCAGAAGTAGAACATCCTCCTATATACTGTACCTGTATTTCTAATCTTTAAAGGAAACTGGCAATCATTTTTAAATAATTTTGCTTTCTTCAAACACTTTTTGTACCTGGAAAAATAGTCTTAGTCTGCAGCGTCTCAGCTTTTATCTGGTACAAGGTAAAAGTCGTAATAATAGTCGTTGTGACTTAGAAACAGTTTTATTTTTAGACCAGAAATGTTTGGACTTTTCTGTTTACCTTTGTCTTGTGTATCGTTCATGGAGCCGTGTGTGTTTCTGTGGCTCTGGTGTCGGCTAATTATTTTCTCAAAGGTTATAACCTCAGTTTTAATGGCAGCAGAAGTCTCTAGATGCAGCCTCCACCTGCCCTCGGTCACATCACAACAAACACATTTCCACTTGTTAAAGCAGTTTGTCCTTCAGTCTGACACAAAGAAAACATTTTAATGAATCAGGAGAAGCTTTTGTGAAATAGATATTTTCCTCTTTTAGGTGCATGAATTGTCAATATTTGTGTCTGAAGTAAAGCATTCAGTAAAATAGTTTTTGGTGCAATTGACAAACAGGAATATGAAAGTGATAGAATAGTCACGGCAAGTCGACTGTTAATCATTCTAAATATTATATACATTTAATAATATCCATATTTAGTTTATAGTACTCGGTTTATTGGATTTAGATATTAATGAGTAAATGGCCCGAGGCTCCGGAGCTTTTGTCGCTCTTTTAAACTGCTTCATAACGTTGGAGCGTGTGTCAAAACAACCGGTCATGTGTCAAATGCGTCGGCGTCTTGGACTCTGCAGCAGCTGCTTCGTTTTGTATTGACTGCTTCGGTGTGTAACTGCTTCGGTGTGTTGACTGCTTCGGTGTGTCAACTGCTTTGGCGTGTCGACTGCTTCGGTGACTGCTTCGGTGTGTCGACTGCTTTGGTGTGTCGACTGCTTCGGCGTGTCGACTGCTTCGGCGTGTCGACTGCTTCGGCGTGTCGACTGCTTCGGCGTGTCGACTGCTTCGGTGACTGCTTCGGTGTGTTGACTGCTTCGGTGACTGCTTCGGTGTGTCGACTGCTTCGGTGTGTCGACTGCTTTGGTGTGTCGACTGCTTTGGTGTGTCGACTGCTTCAGTGTGTCGACTGCTTCGGCGTGTCGACTGCTTCGGCGTGTCGACTGCTTCGGCGTGTCGACTGCTTCGGCGTGTCGACTGCTTCGGCGTGTCGACTGCTTCGGTGACTGCTTCGGCGTGTCGACTGCTTCGGCGTGTCGACTGCTTCGGTGACTGCTTCGGTGTGTCGACTGCTTCGGTGACTGCTTCGGTGTGTCGACTGCTTCGGTGTGTTGACTGCTTTGGTGACTGCTTCGGTGTGCCGACTGCTTCGGTGACTGCTTCGGTGTGTCGACTGCTTTGGTGTGTTGACTGCTTCGGTGTGTCGACTGCTTTGGCGTGTCAACTGCTTCGGTGACTGCTTTGGTGTGTCGACTGCTTCGGTGTGTCGACTGCTTCGGTGTGTCGACTGCTTCGGTGACTGCTTCGGTGTGTCGACTGCTTCGGTGTGTTGACTGCTTCGGTGTGTCGACTGCTTTGGCGTGTCGACTGCTTTGGCGTGTCGACTGCTTCGGTGACTGCTTTGGTGTGTCGACTGCTTCGGCGTGTCGACTGCTTTGGCGTGTCGACTGCTTCGGTGACTGCTTCGGTGTGTCGACTGCTTCGGTGACTGCTTCGGTGTGTCGACTGCTTTGGTGTGTCTGCTTCGGTGTGTCGACTGCTTCGGTGTGTCGACTGCTTCGGTGTGTCGACTGCTTTGGCGTGTCGACTGCTTCGGTGACTGCTTTGGTGTGTCGACTGCTTTGATGTGTCGATTGCTTCGGCGTGTCGACTGCTAAGGTGACTGCTTCGGCGTGTCATCTGCTTCGGTGTGTCGCAGTGTTTCATTGGCTCAATAGTTTCCCGACTTCTCATTGGTTCAAATCTCTTCATCTCTTGATCTTAAAGCTCATATTTAGCCTCTGCTATTAATATTGTAGTGTGTCACGTGTTGAATTGAATGAATGAATGTAAATACACACAAAATGCTTTTTCATGTTTTTCGATTTGAAACAGCGTCTGTATTAACTAGAGATTACAGATGTATCTTTAATGAGTTTATTTTCTTGTGATTGAGTCTATTCACACCATGATCAAGTGGAAGGAGATAGTTGTCACGTGAAGGAGCAGTGTGTTCCCCCAGCGCTGAGGGGCCAGAGCCTCAACACTGTAGCCAGACCAGACCAGACCTGACATGACCTGACCTGGCTCCTCTTCCTTTGGGAAACGGAACACTTTGTTAAATTAATTGACTATTCTCAGCTCATTAACAGTTGAGTCAGTAAAGAAACACTGACTCGAGGGGGATCACAGAACCGCCAACTCCCCACGGCTGGGACCAGTCCACAGGTCCAGGGAGTCCAGGGTTTCAAGGCTGGGACCAGTCCACAGGTCCAGGGAGTCCAGGGTTTCAAGGCTGGGACCAGTCCACAGGTCCAGGGAGTCCAGGGTTTCGAGTCCCACCAGTGCGTTGATGGAACAGAAGGAGCAGCCCAGACCACATTTTATCCATTCAGACAAAGTGACCGTGAAAACCAGATGGATTCTTCCTGCGGCCCGTGGATGTGACGGGTTAAAACAGATTCAAATTGAAAGTTGGAAATAATTAAATAGATAACAGTCAGGAGTGATTTAAGGTGGATTTACAACACTGCATTAAAAACACACAATCATTGAGACGGATCCACATTCTCCTCTAAAATATAGTTCTTTGCTGACAGATCATTGACAACGACAAATGCAAGTCTTATTTAAAAATGAATAAACACAAAGTGGGAAGAATCCATAAAGTCTATCATTTGCCGCGGTGTTGATATTGTATTGTGTTTTATGACTTGTTTGCACCGAGAGACAAAGCAATTTCCGAGTTTGTGACTTCCTGCTCCTCACAATGGAAATAAAAAGGATTCTGATTCTGATGTTGTGTTGTGTTGTGTTGTATTGTTATAATAATTCAGTACTTTGTGTTTTCAGGGTCTAGATGAGGAGGCACTTGTTGACCACGGGAAGACCAGTTTCACCACTCAGACCAACTACGAGAAGGAAGACCTAGACAGTAAGACATGTTTGATACTGGTTTTGTTTATGTTATTTATTTTGACATTAGGATATTGGGGTTTTGTGTCTCTTTTAACATTGGGGTAGAGGATTGACCAATTTCAACACATTTTAATGATACCCATGTCAAAAAAGGGGATACAAACTATTAAGAATTGAGTTGAATCCTTTTTATTTTTTTTACTCTGACTTTTTGTATTAATGCTGGGGTTCCCAATCTTCTGGAACTTTTTCATCTAATTTAATGCAGCTAGCAGCTAGTTCCTTGCTCTCAAAACAGTTCAGTTCCATCACTGGTTTTCACACATAAGTATTTTCTCTTTGTCACTTCTTTTAGATACTCTTTTTCAGAAGCAAAAGTGAAAACGAGAGAACCTCCGTCTCTTGCTCCTTCTGCTCTCAGCCCAAAGAGTGAAATAGTGACTCACAGGGTTATTTTTGATTTTTTTTAACAATATTTTTTATCCTTACGTTCACACAGACATATGGCAGAGATGAAGAAAAACCTAATGTGAACAAAAACAAAGCAGACCTTAAGAAAAACAAAAACATTTCCATTAACACAAAAGTGAACATGTTTTGGACTGACGCTGTTCTGTAGAGACACACATCATTGATTATTCACGAGACAAAAAGGTTAGGTACCGCAGCTTTAATCTGCTTCAATAGTCACCCACTACACAACAACCAAAGGCCGAGGCTGAGGTTGTTATAATAATGTTTGACGCACAAAACCCTTTACTCAAGGCCTAACCGTTTCACTTCCGGTCCTCCTACTCATTTCTCTTTGTCTACGGTTCAATGTGATCACTTTGACTTGACCTTAACATTGGTTTGCGTCTGAATCCTGCTGAATTGGAGCACTCTTCCTCCTCCTCTTCCTCCTCCTCTCATCTCTCCATCACCTCTTGCATTTGGCCTTTTCTAATCCGCTGAGAGTGTGGAAGTGTGGCCTCCCCAGAGAGCTGCATCCTGGTCTCCTTCTCCTATCAAAGCCGGATGACTCATCTGTGTAAGTGGAGTATTGGCCCAGGATGTAGGCCAAAAATAAATTCAAAGAAAAACACTAGAGAAGGCCATTTGCATCCGACTGCGGGCTCCAGTCTGGGTGGTACATGCAGCAGAAGAAGGAGATTAAACATCAGAGAGAAACAGATGGATGAAATACGTAAATGTTGTCATCTGGTTTTCCTCAAGTCGATTCTGTGTAATTAGAAATGGATCGGAAAAGTCTCAACATGTGTTGAACAAGTATATAAAACTTTTACAAGTCATGGGTTTGACCTCGGCGTTGGCAAATGAGGCGTGGGAAAGATATCAGAGACTTTTGGAGGTAAATACAGACACGGTTCATTGTGATTGGTTAAATAACTCACTGTCTTACTTGATGTGAAGTTTATTGGGCTAGTGAGTCAGTAAGTAAATGATCTTGGGTTCGAATCCCGGTCGGAACAGAGCCTTTCTGAGTGGAAAGGCTCAGAAAAAGCATTTTATTTTATGCTATTACTGTCACACTATTTACAAACTGATAGTTATTATACTGTTTACAGCTGATAGTGGTAAAGTGTTTGGAGACGACAGAAGGAGCTCTATGTTCCCTCCAGGGCACTGTGACGCTGAAGCCAGACCTTAACTTTCAACACTCATCTGTTTTAAAGACAATTATTCATCGGTGATATTTATGTCGTCATAATATCATTCATTTCCAGCGTCTGTTTGGACCTGACAAATATCAAAACTAATCACTTGTTCTCTCTCTTTCTCGCGCTCAAGAAATAGTTGGCCACACATTATCTTTCTCCAAATAGAAAACACTTGAACTGTTGTGTTCTGCCATTTGAGGCTGCGAGCTGATTGGCTGCTGAGGGGGTAATCCGCCCAAACATCTGTGTGAATAATAACAATGTGACGAAGAGTCGGTGACGCAGAAGTAGATCGATTCAATTATCCACATTCACCATTTGCTGTTTAAAATTCGATTACCTTTAGTAAGTTTTAAGGTAGCGATATATGTAAGATTTTACTGTCAAGTCGTCATTAAAGGGCCCTAATCTGTCATCATTAAAGGGCCCTAATCTGTCATCATTAAAGGGCCCTAATCTGTCATCATTAAAGGGCCCTAATCTGTCATCATTAAAGGGCCCTAATCTATCATCATTAAAGGGCCCAAATCTGTCATCATTAAAGGGCCCTAATCTGTCATCATTAATGGGCCCAAATCTGTCATCATTAAAGGGCCCTAATCTGTCATCATTAAAGGGCCCTAATCTGTCATCATTAAAGGGCCCAAATCTGTCATCATTAAAGCTGCACTAACTGACTTTATTTTTGTATTCATTACGAAAGTGCTATCCATGTCCATGCAGTGCATTGGGATATACGTCCTTTTGAAGAAAAAGTAGCGCAGATTTGTGCTGGCGTAACATAATATTTTAGATTGAGTTTTGATGAAACAAGGAAGAGAATGTGTTTCGGGTCGCAAATTGTGACCAATCACAGCGGACCACTAGCCCCCACTTTCGTAAGAAATCTACAGGTCTCCGTTAGCACAGACAGCTGAGTTAGCACAACAAGTGGAGGAGCTAACCTGAAGCTTCGTGTGTCTTCGTCACCGGTTACTGCTTACACAGCAAAACAGCCATCCAAAAGAAAGTCTCGTTCCTCCGCGCTTCCCGGTTCTATCGTTCTATGGTCACGGCATCCACGTGCAAATCCATATCCATGGTTTATCCATATTGGAAGACGCTAGCTCCGTCAACAACAGTGGGTGTGTGTGGGGGGCGATAGCTTCGTGGGTGCGGGGAGGGGAGCAGAAAGAGCGAGGCCAGCGGGTCCACGGCTTCAAAATCCCAAAGTCAGTTAGTGCAGCTTTAAAGGGCCCAAATCTGTCATCATTAAAGGGCCCAAATCTGTCATCATTAAAGGGCCCTAATCTGTCATCATTATAGGGCCTTAATCTGTCATATTTAAAGGGCCCTAATCTGTCGTCATTAAAGGGCCCTAAGGATGAACGACTTTAAGGATAAAGTTAAGTTTCACTTTTTTTATTCTTATAGGGCCATTTTTCCTTTGCCTTTGACCCAGGACTAAACTGGGTCTGAATCCGGACTAAACTGGGTCTGGACCATGACTTTTTAAGGATCCAACAGATCTTTTGTCAGGTCTAGTCTTTTCCCATGTGTGTGTTTTTCTTAACTGGATTCCCTCCCTTTCTTCCATCCATTCTGTTCTGTTTTATCCTGGTCTGGGTCATTTTTAGGGAGTGCAGAGGAGTTCCCAGACCAGTTACCCCAGCTTTAAGTTCAGAAGAGTTAGTTTCCCGTATTAGAATCTAAATGTCCAGTGTCTCCATCGTTCCTGACAGATGTGATTCTTGTGCCCAGGCCACAGAGCGGTGTATGTGGGGGTCCATGTCCCTCTGGGTCGAGAGAGCAGACGGAGGCATCGTCACAGAGGCCACAAGCACCACCGCAAGAAGAAGGAGAAGGACGAGGAGGGCAAAGGAGATGGACGCGACTCTCCTATTGGTACGCAACTGACACACGCTACTGACACACGCTGCTGACACACACTACTGACACACGCTTCTGGCACACGCTACTGACACACGCTACTGACACACGCTACTGACTCACGCTACTGACACACACTACTGACACACGCTTCTGGCACACGCTACTGACACACGCTACTGACTCACGCTACTGACACACGCTACTGACTCACGCTACTGACACACGCTACTGACTCACGCTACTGACACACGCTACTGACTCACGCTACTGACACACGCTGCTGACACACACTACTGACACATGCTTCTGGCACACGCTACTGACACATGCTACTGACACACGCTACTGACTCACGCTACTGACACACGCTACTGACTCACGCTACTGACACACGCTACTGACTCACGCTACTGACACACGCTACTGACACACGCTACTGACACACGCTACTGACACACGCTGCTGACACACGCTGCTGACACACGCTACTGACACACGCTACTGACTCACGCTACTGACACACGCTACTGACTCACGCTACTGACACACGCTACTGACTCACGCTACTGACACACGCTACTGACACACGCTGCTGACACACACTACTGACACATGCTTCTGGCACACGCTACTGACACATGCTACTGACACACGCTACTGACCACGCTACTGACACACGCTACTGACACACGCTACTGACTCACACGCTACTGCTACTGACACACGCTACTGACACCACAACGCTACTGACACACGCTGCTGACACACGCTGCTGACACACGCTACTGACTCACGCTACTGACACACGCTACTGACTCACGCTGGCTGAGTGGATAGCACTCTCGCCTCTCAGCAAGAAGGTCCTGGGTTCGAATCCCGGTTGGACCAGGGCCTTTCTGAGTGGAGTTTGCATGTTCTCCCCGTGTCTGCGTAGGTTTCCTCCGGGTGCTCCGGTTTCCCCTACCACTAAAAATATGTACAATAGTTCTGGCATGTGCCTCCTGTACTGGCACCCCCACCCAACAATTGTAAACCGCTTTGAGACTCCGATGTGCAGTGAAAAGGCGGTATATAAATAAAGGCTTACTTACTACTTACTACTACTGACACACGCTACTGACACACGCTACTGACACACGCTACTGACACACGCTGCTGACACACGCTACTGACACACGCTACTGACACACACTACTGACACATGCTTCTGGCACACGCTACTGACACACGCTACTGACACACGCTACTGACTCACGCTACTGACACACGCTACTGACTCACGCTACTGACACACGCTACTGACTCACGCTACTGACACACGCTACTGACACACGCTGCTGACACACACTACTGACACATGCTTCTGGCACACGCTACTGACACATGCTACTGACACACGCTACTGACTCACGCTACTGACACACGCTACTGACTCACGCTACTGACACACGCTACTGACACACGCTACTGACACACGCTACTGACACACGCTGCTGACACACGCTGCTGACACACGCTACTGACTCACGCTACTGACACACGCTACTGACTCACGCTGGCTGAGTGGATAGCACTCTCGCCTCTCAGCAAGAAGGTCCTGGGTTCGAATCCCGGTTGGACCAGGGCCTTTCTGAGTGGAGTTTGCATGTTCTCCCCGTGTCTGCGTAGGTTTCCTCCGGGTGCTCCGGTTTCCCCTACCACTAAAAATATGTACAATAGTTCTGGCATGTGCCTCCTGTACTGGCACCCCCACCCAACAATTGTAAACCGCTTTGAGACTCCGATGTGCAGTGAAAAGGCGGTATATAAATAAAGGCTTACTTACTACTTACTACTACTGACACACGCTACTGACACACGCTACTGACACACGCTACTGACACACGCTGCTGACACACGCTACTGACACACGCTACTGACACACACTACTGACACATGCTTCTGGCACACGCTACTGACACACGCTACTGACACACGCTACTGACTCACGCTACTGACACACGCTACTGACACACGCCGCTGACACACGCTGCTGACACACGCCGCTGACACACGCTACTGACACACGCTACTGACACACGCTGCTGACACACGCTGCTGACACACGCTACTGACACACACTACTGACACACGCTGCTGACACACACTACTAACACACGCTACTGACACACACTACTGACACACGCTGCTGACACACGCTACTGACACACGCTGCTGACACACGCTGCTGACACACGCTGCTGACACACGCTGCTGACACACGCTACTGACACACGCTACTGACACACGCTGCTGACACACGCTGCTGACACACGCTACTGACACACGCTACTGACACACGCTGCTGACACACGCTGCTGACACACGCTACTGACACACGCTACTGACACACTTTCACCTGGCCAAACCTGAAGCGACTCTGAAACACTATAATCCTGTGTAAAATCCAATATCACACATAAAACAAATAAGATCCTTTATTTTTCCCATTATTAGTAAATTACATCATAATTGACCTTTCAGGATGTAATTATAACATCAATTAGAATGAGTCTGGTGTGTGTGTGAATGGTTGGTGGTGGTGGGAGGGGCCGATGGCACAGACTGGTTGCCTCGCTTCTGTCAGTGTGCCCCAGGGCAGCTGTGGCTACAGTAGTTTATCACCATTATTATAATCAGCATTATTGTTTTTATTATTATTTAGGTGTCGACACAGGCACGGCAACACAGCTCAACGTGTACACAGATGCCTTTGTATTGAAATGTTTTCGTCGATTGATTTCACATTGTCAGTTGTTTCCTGCACTTAAAAAAAAAGTTTATTTATGTACTTGTCTTGTGCACTCTGGGGACTTTTGCAAATGTATTCTAAGGTGGTTCTACTAATGGCAAATAAAGGAATTTGAATCTAAAAAATCCTTCAAACCGTCTGCTAGCGACTCACTCAGGCTCGCTCACAGCACCAGTCCCTCTGATCCTCTGCAGGGGGTGGGTCCACAGGAAGATGCTACATCAGTGGTGACACAGTCTGGTGTTTCAGCGGGGGCTTCAGGCAATGTGGGGTTAAGTGTCTTGCCCAAGGGCACAACGACAGCAGACATTAGTGGGAGCAGGTCCCATGGTGGGCTCAAACCCACGACCTTCCGGCCCAAAGACCAATGCTCTACCAACTGAGCTATATCAACATAACTATATAATGTTTAGTGTGAGTGTGTGTTGTTCTCTCTGTGAGTGTGTGTTGTTCTGGCTGTGAGTGTGTGTTGTTCTGGCTGTGAGTGTGTGTTGTTCTCTCTGTGAGTGTGTGTTGTTCTGGCTGTGAGTGTGTGTTGTTCTGGCTGTGAGTGTGTGTTGTTCTCTCTGTGAGTGTGTGTTGTTCTGGCTGTGAGTGTGTGTTGTTCTGGCTGAATGAGTGTGTGTTGTTCTCGCCGTGAGCCTGACCTCTGACCCCTGCCTCTGTAGACACGCCGTCGCAGCGGGTGCAGTTTATTCTTGGGACCGAGGACGACGACCTGGAGCACGTTCCCCACGACCTGTTCACGGAGCTGGACGAGCTCTCCTTCAGAGACGGCAGTGCCATGGAGTGGAAGGAGACGGCCAGGTCTGTGCGCCGGACACACAACACACTGCGTTAGCATTAGCTCAGGCCGCAGATAGCTTTCGCGCCACAGTCTTCTCTGGGAACAGCCAAAACAAACTCTCTTTTAACTGTGAGTGAGTAAGTATCAATCAATCAATCAAAGTTTATTTGTAGAGCGCCTTTCATACACAGGGCAACACAAAGCGCTTCACAGTCCACATCACAAATCATCACATAAAACAAACACCAGAATCACAATTAAAACATTAAAATCACACAAAAGATTAAAACACAATTAAAACAGTAAAATCACACAAAAGAATAAAACCATTAAAACTTTCAAAATTACACAAGAAATTTAAAAAAAATAAATAAATGACAGCAGTGCATTAAAAATGGAGATAAAATCCTTCAGTTATATGCACAGGCAAACAGAACAGTCTTTAACCTGGATTTGAACATTGACAGAGTAGACGCCTCCCTCACATTTTCAGGGAGATTGTTCCAGATCTTAGCTGCATGGATCTGAAACGCAGCCTCCCCATGTTTGGTTCTCACTCTGGGCACCAGCAGGAGGCCAGTCCCTGTGCTCCTCAGAGTCCGGGCCGGTTCATATGACACCAACATGTCACTAATGTATTCTGGTGCAAGGCCATGGAGAGACTTGTACACAAGCAGAGCCGTTTTAAAATCTATTCTTTGAGCCACAGGAAGCCAGTGCAGAGACCTGAGGACCGGACTAATATGGTCATACTTCCTGGTTCCTGTCAGGACTCTAGCTGCTGCATTTTGGATGTACTGCAGCTGCTTACAGGTCTGTTTGGACAGACCTGTAAGCAGGCCATTGCAGTAGTCTAGCCTGCTGGAGACAAATGCATGGACAAGAATCTCCAAGTCTGCCCTGGACACTATATTTCTAACTTTGGCAATGTTCTTCAGATGGTAAAAAGCGGTTGATGTTATTGATTTTATGTGGCTATTGAAATTTAGGTCTGAGTCCAGTATTACCCCCAAATTTCTGACCTTGTCTGAAGGAAGTAGGGAGAGAGACTGAAGTTGACAAATGACGCCCTCTCTTTGTTTCTGGGGACCAAAGACAATGATTTCGGTTTTGTCTGCATTTAGCTGGAGGAAATTATTTTGCATCCAGTCACTGATCTGTTGGATACAGTGAAGGAGCAAATCCAGTGGTCCATGTTCTCCTGCAGTCAGTGAGACATAGATCTGAGTGTCGTCAGCGTAATTGTGGTAGGACACTTTGTTTCTTTGTATTAACTGACCTAACGGCAGCATGTAGAGATTAAATAGGAGAGGTCCCAGGATCGACCCCTGTGGTACACCACAGGTCAGGGCCACATCATCTGAGACGCAGTCTCCAATCTCCACAGAGTACTTCCTATCCTCCAGGTAAGACCTAAACCAGTCTAGGGCTGTGCCAGTGACACCAACCCAGTCCTCCAGTCTCTGCATGAGGATCTCATGGTCGACAGTGTCGAACGCGGCACTAAGATCTAACATGACCAAAACTGTGACTTTACCTGCATCAGTGTGAAGTCGAATGTCGTTTGTTACCTTCACTAGAGCGGTCTCAGTGCTGTGGTGGGGTCTAAACCCAGACTGGAACATATCAAAAGAATTATTCATTGTTAAAAATTCAGTAAGTTGTTGGGAGGCCACTTTTTCAAGAATTTTTCCAATAAATGGCAGATTCGATATGGGGCGATAATTTTGAAGTCCCGCAGGATCCAGACTGCTCTTTTTTAGGAGAGGTCTTATGACTGCTGTTTTTAGGGCCATAGGAAATGTTCCTGACGACAGAGACATGTTTACTATTTGTGTCAGTGAAGGTAACAAACTGCTCAGGACGGACTTCAGAAATTTAGAGGGCAATATATCCAGGCTACATGTGGAGGAGCTCAGACTCATGATTATCTTTTTGACAGTTTCAGTTATCCACAGGTGCAAAGTGAGTTAGCTCAAAAAGCTTCTCTGGCTGTTGCATTGTTATACGTGCTGTGGAGGTGATAGTGTTTTTGATTCCTTGTACTTTGTCATCGAAAAACTGTGCGAACTCATTACACCTAGATTTAGAGGAAAATTCTAGGGGCAACTTTACAGGGGGGTTCGTTAATCTACCAACTGTTGAAAACATAACACGAAAATTGTTACTGCAACCTCCAATAATGTCAGAAAAATACATTTCTCTTGTTCTACGTAGAACCCGGTTAAATTCACCCAACTCATCTTTAAAGATTTCATAATCGCCCTGGAAATTGGACTTTCGCCACTTCCGTTCGGCCCTCCGGCACTCTTGCTTCTGTGCCCTAACCGAGTCTGCCTTAGTCCATGGGGCCTTTTTCTTACTGGTAACTATTTTAACCGTCACAGGAGCAATGGCGTCCAGAACAGTCAGAACACTGGTGGTGACAGAGTTATACAATTCATCAACAGTAGAGCATGGAGTTTTCTCAAAATTTAGCATTCCCATGAACAGTTCACTTGTGTTTTCATGTATGTGTCTTCTTCTAACAGTTGTAAATTCAGCTGGTGGTTTGCTAGCAAAACACATGTCAAAAAATACACAGAAATGATCTGACAAAGCAACATCAACTACATTAACATTTGATACATTAACCCCCTTTGTAATTAGCAGGTCAAGAGTGTGCCCCCTGCTGTGGGTGGGGCCACTCACGTGCTGAATGAAACCAAAGGTCTCAAATACAGAAGCCAGCTCCTTTGCATTTCTGTCATCAACATTATCAACATGTACATTAAAATCACCTGTAATAACTAAACTATCAAAATCTGTGCACACGAATGAAAGTAGTTCAGTAAAATGGTCAATAAAATCGCAACATGACTGTGGTGGCCTGTACAGGACAATGAAAAGAGTAGAAGATTGCTTTTGTTCCATTTTAAAAGAAATATACTCAAACGATGAAAAATTTCCAAGGGGCATTCTATGGGAGACAAAGTGCTCTCTAAAAACTGCAGCTATGCCTCCCCCCCTTTTGTTTTCTCGTATTTCGGATTCGAATTTAAAATTGGGTGGTGTTGCTTCTATTAGAACTGCATTTCCTGTATTTTGGTCGAGCCATGTTTCAGCCATAAGCATAAAATCAAGATCATAAGAAGTGATAAAATTATTAATTAAAAATGATTTGTTACATAGAGATCTGACATTAAGCATAGCAAGTTTAAAAATAACGTCAGAGTCGATTAATGTGGTTGATTGATTTCTACAGGGAACAGAAATTAGATTTGCAGAGTTGGACCGTCTAACTGCTGTCCTGTTTTGATTTCGTTTTTTTAGAATTTAAAAACATTTTTGAGCTGGTGCGAGGAACACACACAGTCTCAATTGGCCTAAAATGTGAAAACCCTTGTTGTTCTTTAGCTCCCAGAGTCAGAAGGGAGTCAGCACAGTTCAGTGTTTGGACTGGTAATGCACTGCCAGACGGACAGGGAGCAGTGTTTGCACCGTTGTACTCACCCGGTGCTGGTGAGCAGGAGGCGGGGGAGTGCGGTGGGGTCCGAGGGGGCTCAGATGTAAACAGTCACGCCCCCCTCGGGGAACGCTGAACAACATAACGTATGTAATCCATCAACAGGCTGCTACCGTATCTGTTTGGGTGTAATCCGTCTGGACGATAGGCTTCGTAACGTTTCCAGAAAAGGGCAAAGTTATTCACAAAGACAAAGTTAAAAGAGCTGCATGTAGCCTGGAGCCACATATGCAGCGCCACAACACGACTGTAGAGGCAGTCACCTCTGTTTACAGTCGGGATTGGACCAGAAATAAAAACAGATAGTCCGGAGGATTGAAGGAGGTGGAACAGATCCATAAAATGTTTCTTTGTGACTTCTGACTGCTGAAGTTTCATGTCGTTAATTCCCACATGCACGACTACCTTGGAAACGGTATCAGGCAGGGACTGAAGCAGAGGAGGGAGACGTATGAGCAGGTCTGGTACAGTAGCTCCGGGAATACAGCGAGTGACCGCGTTAAAGAAGCGGACGTGTCTCACGATGGAATCTCCAATAATCAGAGTGGTCGGGGCGAAGAGTGGCCTCGGAGAAGGAGCTCGGTGGACGGAACCAGCGGGTTCACCCGAAGCAGGACCCGAGCCTGAGCGCCGCTGAACACATGGAGAGGAGGAGCGGGGGTGCTGACTCTCAGCTACAGGCGACCCACGCTGTGTGCTCGGGGACGCTGGAGCGGTGAGAGGGGCTGGCTTTGGGCGCTGCTGCTGACCCGGTGGAGGTGAGCGGTGGTAATGATGGCTCGCTACCCCAGTCTGAGGCTGCTGCACTGGGGTCAAAGAAGGGGAACAGGCCAACATGGCTGGTGGACCGCTCTTTCGCCTGAGGACTGCTTCCTTTAGGAGCGTTTTCCTCGCAGTGGACTTGGATCCTCGAGCAGTAGAGTACGCTGCAGTGTCCAGGGATTCTGCTGAGGGGGCCGGGATGTCGGTGGAGAGGGCTGCATAGCGGTTTGCCAGACTCAGGACATGGGCCACGGCGCAGGATGGCTCCTCGGAATCCGCGGGCTCGTTATTCGGAACCGGGCGCTTAGGCGTAGAACAGGAGGGTCCGGAGCTGACGGATCTCTCCCACACGACAGTGTCACAATATGCAGCGCTCAGTGACATAAGCCGTGAATGCTGCCCACCAGCGACTTCAAAAAGTTTGGATACTAGAGATTGTTTCTCATTCAACTCTGCGGTGAGACGAAGGACTTCTTTTCGTAGTTCTGCAATGGTGGCACGGTCGCTCTCACGGAGCTCCAAGGTGAGGCGACTAATATTGTGCATGTTTGAGCCAATTTCATTGTCACTTTCCATGTCCTCGTTAGCTTGTGTTAGCCTCTGTGCTACTAGTGGGTTTCAGTCGGGACTAAGTGCTATTTGCTGAAACCACTGAATTAAAAAGATAAAACACTCAGATATATTAAAAAACTGAACAATAAAAACGCGCTAAAAAGTTGTTAAAAGTTTACTAAAAAGGTGCACAGAGCAGCCCTGCAGTACTGCTTACTTTGACACACCTGCGATGTCTCAATGGCATCGCAGGTGTCCAAGTAATGTTTATTTATATAGCGCAGGTCACCCAAAGCGCTTCACAAAATTCAGAGTTCAGATATTGTTATCACTCCACACACGCTGATGACAGAAGCGAGACGCCGAACACACTGATCCATCAAAGCCTCCGACCAAACACCATCTATTCAATCGTTACATTCAGACCTATTACGACCTTCCGGTCGTAACAGGGTCTTCTATATGTGTGGAGTTTGCATGTTCTCCTCATGTCTGCTCCAGTTTTCCCTACCATTAAAAACATATACAAGCTCAATAGCTCTGGTCAGGACCGAGCCGAGGACCAACATCTGAAGACCAAGTCAATCAAAAAAAATCACTACATATAATTTGGACTTCCCTGGTCTTACCACACCATGGTACTCATTTCATTTCATACTAAGGTCTGGATTGTCTCCATTGACTCCGTTAACAGGTGGGAGGGGCTAACTCCTTTTGCAGATTGAAACCATTGGATCTGAGTTTACTGTGACGTAATGAGCCCGAGTGAGTGAGGCATTTAGCATTTAGCCTAGCTTTAGCCATCTCCTTTTTCGCTAACGGAATAGATGATGATATTTGGATTGAACCAGAACAGATTATTTTACTATCACATTTTCCGACAAACTACAACCAGAAAATTCAGCACAAACTCTTGACGTCACCGACACGACCTACAACACCCGCCTCCCCCGCTCTCTGATTGGTCGGAGGGGATTCAACCGAGGAAACTGCAGCCACTAGGATCAGACCCAGACGTACATGTAGGAAATGACCATGGACCAGAGTTTACACATGGTAAGACCAGACGTACATGTAGGAAATGATCATGGACCAGAGTTTACACATGGTAAGACCAGACGTACATGTAGGAAATGATCATGGACCAGAGTTTACACATGGTAAGACCAGACGTACATGAAGGAAGTGATCATGGACCAGAGTTTACACATGGTAAGACCAGGCTACATTTGGACTAGCACTTCATACAAGTCTTTTGCATGGTCGCAGGTGGCTGAAGTTCGAGGAGGACGTTGAGGACGGAGGAGAGCGCTGGAGCAAGCCCTACGTAGCGACTCTTTCTCTGCACAGTCTGTTCGAGCTCCGCAGCTGCATCCTGAACGGCACCGTGATGCTGGACATGAGAGCCAGCAGCATCGAGGAAATTGCTGGTAATTGAACCGTGCATTTGTAAGTCCATTTACTCTGCTTTTCCCTGACTTCCTGACTCTAACCTCTCCTTTGTGCTACCGCTGCTGCGATTGTGCGACAGACATGGTGATTGACAGCATGGTGGCGACGGGTCAGCTCCGAGAGGATCTACGGGCGAAGGTGCGAGAGGCCATGTTGAAGAAGCACCACCACCAGAACGAGAGGAAGCTCAGTAATCGGATACCGCTGGTGCGCTCCTTTGCTGACATAGGCAAGAAATATTCTGACCCACTCTTGCTTGAGAGAAACGGTGAGATCCAGCAGCACACTCAAATGTTCTTTTTCACTTAAATGATAGCATCGCCTGTATATAGAGACCAGTTTTATCAATAACCATCTTAATATCTTCTCATATCAGTGCGTAGAAGGTGTCAGGGTATTGTCAGTATTTTTGTGTATCTCTAATGGGTGTGGAAGCCCATGTGGAAGAGAAGTTGGGGTGCTGCTAGTCCCTATGTACGTAACTGTTTTTGCCTGGGTGTTTCTGTGTGCATTGTAATGATAGTATTATCTATTAGATGGTGTTTCTTACACAGTAATGGCTATTTGTAAGAAAGCATGGGCAACGCTGAACTTTTTCAAGAGGATTTAGATATAAAACCATACATTCAGAGCGTGTTGAGATGCCCCTAACACGGTTTGCTGTTTATTTGAATAATAACTGATGTCCATAAAGCACTCGTTTGTCACAGTGCACTGACATTTACTGATCCTGTGCATGGCAGCTTCTTCTTTGCACCCTCACCCCGACTTCTGCTTGGTTTGTTTTGGAGTTGGTTGCTGGACACTTGTAAGCCCTCCCTCCTGAATCATTTGTGAAGTCTTCTGCTCAAACCATGCTTCTGCTCACATGTGTGTTTCTTCTCTAACCCACCTCTCCCACGCTGCCACTGCTCACTCCCTGTCTCCAGATGCCTCCTGTGTGATACTGCCCTCATCTTATTTCCCTTACCCTTTTTCTCTCCCTCCTCTCCTTCCTTCACCCTCTTCTCTTCCATGTTCCTCTCTGTTAGGAGAGGGCCTGTCCTCTTCTCGCCACTCTCTCCACAAGCCCGGATTCTCTCCCTCTGGAGCCAACCTGTCCCAGAGACGAGAGTCCATGGTGTCGGTTTTGCTCAACCATCTCCTCCCCTCTTCCAACACGTCCCAGTCCACTCCTCACAATACCCCCTCGTCTTTCCGTCGTTCGGCCGACCTTCCTGGGAACCATGGTGCAGGTCCACAAGGCATCCCGGAGGTGGTGGTGTCTCCGCCCGAGGACGATGAGGTCCAATGTTCAGCTGAAGATGAAGCAGGATCTCCTCAGCTCGACCGGCGAGGCTCCTCTGTCTCTCAGTGCCTCGAGATGCTGCCCTTAGAAGGCAAATATCTGTGTAGCCTGCCAGTGTGAGTCACGGCTTGAACTGCGAACACTAGCACTAGCATGAAGGCTAAGCTTGTTGTGAACCCGCAGCCCGGCAGCCATCCCATCAGTAACCCACAGCAAGGCTCAGGCCAGAGACGCTGCTCCCTCTGTGGCCGTCAGAGTTAATGCTCCAATAATGTCCTCACACAAACCCAACTAACCACACACCTTTGTAAACACTGTAGCTTCTACAGCAGTGGTTCTCAAATGTCAGGGAGCCCCAAAATGAAGATATAAATGATTATTACTGTCAAAACATCAAACAAATCCATTGTAGCAAAGCTCGTTTGAGTCTTGTGTTGTTCTATTTGACCCAATATAACCAAAATTATTCTATTTTTGTGTCATATAATTGGAAAAATACTGTATTTAGAATATAAATATTAAACCAATCTGCGCTCCACAGCTCAGTGTCTTTGAAAACCACTGGTGTTCAACTGTATGTGACGTCACCTCTGTCTCTTACACACGTCTGCAGTGATAGCGTCTCTGCCTTGCTTGGGTGTGAAGTTTCCACTCTGTAGTTGCATGACCATATTTTATTTTTCCATGTGCTGTGAATGTTTCCTGGATTAGATCTTTTAATAATCCTGATATTCAGTGATTTCTGATAACATATGCTACTCCAGAATGGGGTAGTTTATGTAGATCCTGGATTTGTCACAGCTACACAAGTATTATACCACAGAACATGGGTTTACTCAGTGTGTTTTTGTGCATCCTGTAAACGTGTTGTAATGTGTGTTTTTCAATGTCATCAAACTTGTTTTCCTCATTGTTTAGTCACAGTTGGTGTAAACATCTTTCCCCTGATCAATCCTCCTGTGGAATATGAAACTGCGACTCAGAGTGGGACCTGTATCTACTGACTGTCTCCAACAATGATTTGTTGTTCTTCCCAAACCCATGTGTGTGGTATTAATAGACAGTGTGCGTATATGTGCATTGGTGCTGGTGGCTCCCTGGGAACGGCTCCGTTACAGCGGGCGAGCCTTTGAAGACTGATATCTCGCTGGACTGACGGGGGTTGGAGTGGTCCTATTTTAGTCCAGGGAGCTTGTAATTGTACCCCGTCTAAGAAAATGTACTGTATTTCAAAACATATCCACATGACTGAGGTCACTGGGGTTTGAGAGCTACAATGGAACAGTTATCCTAGTTCTATAGTTATGGATTTAGTGACACTCTTCTCCTGTGAAGGTAATACTGGTCACATCAGTAATCTCCACTGTTCGGAAACAGAGATGCATGTTTTTGATTACAACTGAGTGACGCCACAGCAGCACCCGGCTATGAGGGAGCATTCCAGGGCTTAGCCCTCCTGAATGAACCTGGTCGCTGGATGCAACAAAGCTAATCCTCCCTTATTCCAAGAGGCTTTGTTGGCTGTATGAGCACTCATGCTCTTGTTCACTGCCTCCAGTGCGGGGTTACTCTGGCACTGGTCAAGGGTACGACGGATCACTGCTAAACATATTGTGGAAGTCATGTGCAGGTCTGACCTTGGGAAACACATGGTAAAGCATTGTTACTTTGCTGAGGTTCAAATGTACTTGTATTTATTGTAGATCAAGTGCATTCCTCGCTCATCTCGTCTCCTCATGTTGTCATCGGTGCTAGCGTTTCATTTGGCTTTGGTCAAATGCTGGTGTTTGATTTAAAAAGTGTCCGTGAGTGTCTGAGGTGCACTGCTCCGAGCTTACACTGTGTATATACATTTATATACGTTTATATACGATCCATTAGACTGAGCTCAACAGACGGGAAGAAATCACTCTTTGTCCAACATGAGATGTTCCCTGTGGAGACTCCGACTCGCTGCTGCGCCGCATTAGGAACAGGAAGTCATCATTTCACTTTGTGCCTGAGCCGAGAACAGTGAGCTCCATCAGGCTTCGTTGCTGCGCTCAGACTTCATCCATCAGACACCGTTTAAGAGATCAAATGTCCTTTAGTGTAATGTACGTGTAGAAGTTAACCCGAGGCCCAGGGTTAATATGTTATAAACTCAGGCTGTCGCTGCGATGCATTAAAATATAGAAGAATCATGTTTGAAACGGAGAGACTTATAGTAGAGGAAATTGCTCCTGCACGGTGACGTCTGAAAGGTTAACTGAAAGCATTTAACCTTCTCTGCCACGATTCACTTTGACTTCCCGTTTGTTGAGACTAATGTTTGTTGTTTGAAATACTAAACTGCATATTTCTTGCGTGTTGTTGCTGATGCTGTTTCTCTGTGTTCCGACCAGGACCAATGGTATCGCCGCACTCAGTTCCTACAAACCTGGACGGGAACAAGGCTGTGGAGAGGAGGCCGTCCAAAGTTGGGGTCAGTAGAGAAGGCAGCAGTGTGGACTTCAGCAAGGTATAACCCCAGGCCCGGCCCCTGCCACTGCCTCTGCTCCATCTCTGGATCTCCACCATCTCTGACCAAAAAACACCACAATTCAATTCACAAGAGCAATTTTACGGATCGTTTCCAGAGTGGGCCGTTGTGGAAAAGGATTCAATGGTAGTCATCTAAATACTGTAATGAAATATACAGGTAGAAGTTAAAAATTAGACTTTATTGATCCACAAGTTATCACCGTAGAATAAAAATAACAATAAAGTAACATCTGAAAATAAGACTAATAATGAGATGATATTGTGAGAATAGAATAATCTGGATATAGGTGCTCGGGAATATACATATCTGTGAATACGTGCACATTTACAGTATAAAATACACAGATAATCAAATACTACACATTTGTTAATATACAATATACAAGGACAAAGCAGATAAACTTACAAATACAATTACACACTTACAATATTTACTTAATTAATCCTAAACTTACATTGTGAAACTAATACATGAAAAACAACCCAATGTTACAAACATTGACTCTTTATGAAGCAGAGGATGTCGGCGCTTTAGCTTTAAACCTCATGTGAAGTGTGTTTTTCCACTGGAGGTTTTGACATTTGAAGATAACTTTTCAGAAAGGATGTTTAGAAAGAGATAAAAAGAGGCAACCTTGGAAAGCACAAAGGCAAAAGAAAACCAGGGCAAGGTAGAAACGGCCGGAACTTAAAAACTACCAAATATTCTTCAAAACTGATCAAAAACACAGAAGGAGCTGGACTTTTCTTTGGACCCTTTATTTTAGCGATGCGGACGATGGGTGTATTTTTATTTTGTTAGAGCGCCTCCTCAGGTGCAGAGACGTATTTGGACCAGTGGGGGCGGGTCCCAGCTCAAAAGTGTCCAAAATGACGTGCGCTGACATGCTGCAGTACCACCCCGGGCCTGTGGGGGTGGACCCAGAAGAAGAATTAGCCAATGCTAACATATAGCATCGGCAGACCTCTCAAAAAAGTCTTTACAGGATGGACCAAAAGTTGTCTCTTGGCCCAAAGCTCCGTTCCACATGTGTGTCAATGCTGAGTGTTCTGGTCCACTCTAGTTTAGTCGCTGTGATTTTTTGAAGTCTCTCGTTCAAATGAATGGAGCTGCTCCGGCTGACGCATGCGCAGATGCGTTTTTTCACAATTTTCTTGTGGGCGGCACCACTTGCGGCCATTTTGGATTGCTCCAGTAGAGCACATTTTTTGGCCCATTAGTTAGAACGGCGGAGATAGGCCTGACTCTGTCCATTAATATATACAGTCTATGGTTTGGACACAGCTTTATCTCCAGAGCTGATGACGTCACACACATTCCTGATCCTGCTGTGTTTATGTGAACAGAGCGCTGACATGAGCAAGTGCAGGGAAATACACCTCACTTGTTTTACTGTGAGTTTTACGAGGGATTATATTGTCAAAAGTAGTTTGATCTTAATTATTAGTTCAAACCGTTTGTCAGATTTGCTTCCACTGTCGGTTACATTGAACCTGCAGTTTATATTCAAGTGCGGCCTTTATGTGAAAACGATAAATACATGCGTTTAGCTGGTGGGATTTGTCGTTTGATTAATTGTCCAGAAAGTCCTGTTCATAAAATTCTGGTAACTTAAAGAAAACCTCCTGATGACGTAATCCAGATGAAAACCTTTGAAGACTTTTCTCCACGCCACAAGTTGCGAGTTTTATTGTGATTATTGACAAACCAAACAACAGGGAGATCCTTCTTTTTCTTTCATTTCTGTTTCCTTTTCTCAAACTCTGAACCTCTGAAGTTAATGTGACATCAACAGCCATTATAGTTGTTATTATTCATAGTTTTAATACGATATTATCCAGAGAGTGACCTGCAGTGTCTCTCCTCGCCCACATCCGTGTCGACATTCTGCTGTAGATCCTGGAACATTAGCTCTGCCAAAAACAAGGTGCAGCGTTCGGATGATTCACCAGATACAGAACAATCTCTCTTCTCCAGAGTCCGGCTCCGTGAACTCACTGTGCCACGGGAGAGAATCAGAACCAAGAATATGGATATTTTATTGCCGGTAGTTGGTTGCAGCAATTCTCTCTGATCCAAAACATAATGAACACTGTCTAACTCTAAAAACAAACTTATTTTAATGTTGTATGTGTTGATACTGTTGGACTTTATAAACGTTGTGTATCAGAATATAGACACAACAAAACTATTTCCATCTGAATCAAAAGAAAATTTCATTCAATTCATTTTAATATGTTTTTGTATAGCCCTAAACAGGAGTAGCCTGCGCTGAATTTGCTGGTTGTAGTTTGTCGGAGAATGCGATAGTAAAATAATCTGTTCTGGTTCAATCCAAATATCAAGAAACTGAAGCTGGAGCAAGAGGAATGTTTAGTAAATGTCACTGAAGCAAAGATGTTGTGGCTTTACTCCCCACGGGCTCCGTTAGCTGCAAAGGAGATGGATAAAGCTAGGCTACATGCTAAAGCTAGGCTAAATGCTAAAGCTAGGCTACATGCTAAATGCCTCACTCACTCGTTTCAATCTGCAAAAGGAGTTAGCCCCTCCCACCTGTTAACGGAGTCAATGGAGACAATCCAGACCGTAGTATGAAATGAAATGCGTACTATGGTGTGGTACGACCAGGGTAGAATAGTAGTTATCTCAGAGGACTTTACAAAACTGTTGAATTTGCCAACACAGATCAGAGAATCAAATAGTTCAAACGCTAGAAATAATTACAAAAATCAAATATAATGGCCTTTGGTCCTTTTTATTATATTTCATTGGCCATGTTCATAGAAAATCATCTTTTCTTAGATCAGAGGTCTCCAACCTGTAACTCAGGAGCTACAGTAGCTCGCCAGCTCCTTTCAGGTAGCTCGCCAAAGGACTTAGAATTCAACAAAATCTTGAATGAATACATACAGTAATTACGAATCTATTATAAGTATAAATATAGGGTTTTACAGTATTATGGTGTATTTACATGTGTTCTCTATGTTTTGTAATTATTTGATAGATTTTTATTACGACAGAAAAAATAAGTAGCTCTCTGCATCTTCTGTTGCATAAATGTAGCTCTACAATTTAGATCCCTGACTTAGACTATTACATTAGTGGTTATTTGCCAGTAGTGTCACCTCAGCTTCACTGACCTGCTACTGCTGCTGCTGCTGCTACTGCTGCTGCTGCTACTGCTGCTGCTGCTACTGCTGCTGCTGAAGCTGCTGCTGCTGCTGCTGCTGCTGCTGCTGCTGCTGCTGCTGCTGCTGCTGCTGCTGCTGCTGCTGCTGCTGCTGCTACTGCTGCTGCTGCTGCTGCTGCTGCTGCTGCTGCTGCTGCTGCTGCTGCTGCTGAAGCTGCTGCTGCTGCTGCAGCTGCTGCTGCTGCTGCTGCTACTGCTACTGCTGCTGCTGCTGCTGCTGCTGCTGCTGCTGCTGCTGCTGCTGCTGAAGCTGCTGCTGCTGCTGCTGCTGCTGAAGCTGCTGCTGCTGCTGAAGCTGCTGCTGCTGCTACTGCTGCTGCTGCTACTGCTGCTGCTGCTGCTGCTGCTGCTGCTGCTGCTGCTGCTGCTGCTGCTGCTGCTGAAGCTGCTGCTGCTGCTGCTGCTGCTGCTGCTGAAGCTGCTGCTGCTGCTGAAGCTGCTGCTGCTGCTGCTGCTGCTGCTGCTGCTGCTGCTGCTGCTGCTGCTGCTGCTGCTGCTGCTGCTGCTGCTGCTGCTGCTGCTGCTGCTGCTGCTGCTGCTGAAGCTGCTACTGCTGCTGCTGCTGCTGCTGCTGCTTTAAGCTTTCCTCACTTCATCATCAGTCGTTCCGTCAGATACAGTCGTGTGTTCATCAGAGCCACATCCTCACCGAGCGTCTCCGCAGGTGGACATGAACTTCATGAAGAAGATCCCTCCAGGAGCAGAAGCCTCCAACGTCCTCGTGGGAGAAGTGGACTTCCTGGAGAAGCCCATCACTGCGTTTGTGCGTCTGTCTCCGGCGGTGCTCATCACGGGGCTCACGGAGGTCCCGGTGCCCACCAGGTCTGGACCAAAACTCACATCCATTCACTTGTTTGGGAAGTGTCTCTCCTGAAATCTGGTACAACACATAACAACTGTCATAAGGCTTAGAAAGTTCTTTTAGATGAAAAGTACAGAAGCTAGTTCCGCTTAATTACCACATACATGTCTCACAGATCCCTCAGACTGACCACAGCGCCCCCCAGTGGTCGCTGTAGAAGTGAGTCCAAAGTGTGAGATAAGGTGAAAGCCCCTCATCTCTGTTGATGGTCTGTGCCTCCCGCTTCCTGGTTCCTATCGTCCTCGTAGTCACCTTTTGTACCATCAACAGAGGCGAGGGGGCATTCACCTTGGTCATCATGGTTCTCTGGTAACACGTGGTAAATAACCAGTTCTAGCTTTCTTTACATGTTCTGTTTTATTTAAAGAACCTAAGCATTAAAGATCAGAAGACAAAATGACCTTTTTACACGTAACAGTTGTCTTAGTTTAGAAGCCGAGGTTTTTCTACCAACCACAATCTTCAGGGCTTTGCTTTGTGACTTTTAACCATTGTTCCTCTGGATGTCTCAAAATCTTTACTATTTCATAACACGTATCCTAAAAACATACATTTACAAAACCCAAAATATGGCTTCATACTGAATCATGAAGACATAAAAGTAAAGAGATCTCCAAAAGTACAATTATTATTATTTTTATCTTTATTTGAATTGGGACAGTGCACATTAATCAACATGTGTTTTTCAACTTGAGTTAGCATGGAAGCTAATTTTCATCTGTAGTCCCAGGGCAGGTTGTTATCAAGACAGATAAAATACACATACAACAGGCCATAACACACAGACACACACCATCACAAAGACATAACACAACAGGGTTAAACATGTGGTAAAATAGATAAATTAGCTCAGATAAAAGATCAGAGGAACTATCCACAAACCCCCACACAGCAGAGTGTCCGGGGTTTGACTTTAGATTTATGATTGTCCACAAGCCACTTCTTTCCAGAGTTTTTCAAAGTGTGGGTGGAGGTCAGGTTCCTCAGTTCTGTCGGGATCAGGGCCCAGGAGTGTGCTGCTCGAGCTGAGAAGGAAGATTGTCCAAATACAGACTTTCTAAATGGGATTTCACAGTCTCTGCTCGACGATCGTGTGTCTGCATTCAGCTGTATGACCTCCTGCAATGGGGGCGGGGCTAGTCCATTTAGAGTTTTATTGACCATAATTACGTCCATGTACGTTATCAAATTTTCCCACTTCAAAAATGATGTTTGGTAAAGACTTTACAATAGTGATAAGGATTGTTCTTTTTGTCTAATGTTTTTACTGTCTGCTTATAAAGTCTTTCTATGGGCATTGGCCTGAGACTCGTCACACAGTCATTCATATACCAGGGAAGTGTGGCGTTTAGGGACAGTTTTGTATTCTAGGGTTTCATCTGACGTCAGGGCAGTGGCGCGAATAACAAACGTAGGACAGGACGTGGCGTATCCTGGAGGTGCAGTCTGCCGGGTTTATACACAGAGATATAGTAGAAGAAGAAGCGGTTTATACACGGAGATATAGTAGAAGAAGAAGTGGTTTATACACGGAGATATAGTAGAAGAAGAAGTGGTTTATACACGGAGATATAGTAGAAGAAGAAGTGGTTTATACACGGAGAGATATAGTAGAAGAAGTGGTTTATACACGGAGATATAGTAGAAGAAGAAGTGGTTTATACACAGAGATATAGTAGAAGAAGAAGTGGTTTATACACAGAGATATAGTAGAAGAAGAAGTGGTTTATACACGGAGATATAGTAGAAGAAGAAGTGGTTTATACACAGAGATATAGTAGAAGAAGAAGCGGTTTATACACGGAGATATAGTAGAAGAAGAAGTGGTTTATACACAGAGATATAGTAGAAGAAGAAGCGGTTTATACACGGAGATATAGTAGAAGAAGAAGTGGTTTATACACGGAGATATAGTAGAAGAAGAAGCGGTTTATACACAGAGATATAGTAGTAGAAGAAGTGGTTTATACACAGAGATATAGTAGAAGAAGAAGTGGTTTATACACAGAGATATAGTAGTAGAAGAAGTGGTTTATACACAGAGATATAGTAGAAGAAGAAGTGGTTTATACACAGAGATATAGTAGAAGAAGAAGTGGTTTATACACAGAGATATAGTAGAAGAAGAAGCGGTTTATACACGGAGATATAGTAGAAGAAGAAGCGGTTTATACACGGAGATATAGTAGAAGAAGAAGTGGTTTATACACGGAGATATAGTAGAAGAAGAAGTGGTTTATACACGGAGATATAGTAGAAGAAGAAGCATCTTTTTGTGCGGTGTACGCTTGTAGCAACCGCACAAATAGAGAAAGACCAGAGTTTGTTCATGTTCCAACTGTGGTCTGATATAAAGGAGGACACTTTGGAAAAATCACTGGAATGAGGCGGAGGTGGATCAAGGCTTTCCCAGATAAGCGCCCCCTGCAGGCCACCCCAATGAAACGCAGCCATTTCTTCTGTTTTTCTTTCCAAAAAATTCCCAAAATCAAGACTCTTTTAATTGAGTGTCCCCGATTAAGACTGTTCTAACAACCGTACAGCGCACAGGAGGAGAGCCTTTGACTCCAAAACAGACTTTACATGGTTTTCACTGGAGCAACACTGTCCCATCTCTGCTCATGCGCCCCCTACTGGCCAGTTTAATGAAACCCAAGAATAATGTTGTTATTAATGTTTGTTCCAACAGAAAGTGTCTTGTATTAAAATAAAATGTGACCAAATGAGACCACATGTTATTCTTTGCAGACTAGAGCCCTGTGAGTCACAAATGGATGCTGAGATCTGATTGGCTGAATGCAGATGTTAAACTAGTTCCATTATAAAGTAGTATAAACAAACACATTTTCTTCTTGAAGGTTCCTCTTCCTGCTGCTGGGGCCTCATGGAAAAGGACCCACGTACCATGAGATTGGCAGATCGATGGCGACGCTCATGACAGACGAGGTGAGACATGTGACCAGTCTCAGTCTGAGCTGTGAAAATCTGCTGCTTTTGCTAAATCTGTGTCGATGTCGGAGATTCAGACTGAAACAGGATTATTTGAGTTATTTTCTGTTTGAGTAAGAAACAAAATCACCAAGTTAGAATTACTGAGAAAAGATCAGATGGACTTTATCGATCTCACGCAGGATATCTGGCATGGATAGAACCACTCAAGACTAAATTAGAATTAGACAATTATAAGAAGATAGAGTGATATCAGAATGGATGAACATGAAAAAGTGAATATTTTGTGCAACTAAAACATTATAATTATTGTTTTTTATTTTACTGTTTTTATTGACTCAAGTAAAATGACTTCTCCTGGTGCTTTGTGAATTGGGTGGCAGCTCAGATTCCGTGAAAACAACTGAGCATGAGCAGCTCCGAGCACGAGGCAGATGATTGACAGCCCTTGGCATCACGTGATTGGTTAAACTGGACGGCATCGTGGATTCTGAGCTATAGCTAAGAGAAGAGAAGGCGGGACTTACCTGTAATATTATAATTCATAAATGACTTATTTTATATCAACATTTAAGGGCAGGAGGTCCATTTAATACAATTCTTAACATTTGTGATTCATTTAGAGTTACACACTATCACTTAAAGAGTATGTTTTATCCCGGGGGCAACAGTGGCTCAGTTGGGCTTTGAACCCAATGTCACCTGCTCTCACAGATCTCTCCAAGTTCTTATGGGCAGTTGTTCAACACATTTTGCAGAGAAAAGATGCGTTTATGTACAATTACTATTTAGAAAGGACTAGTTTTACTGTAGGTTCAAACTATAGACTTTTTCTGAAATGTGTGGGAATTGTTTTTTTTTTCAAGTTATTTTTTCTGAACAAATATAGACTTTTTAAACATACATCAAGTCTCTGCAATGTTGTCCAGAAATACCACAATTATATAGTTTGCCCAAATGCCCAGATTATGTTCACGCTTCCACATGTTTGGGTGAAACTCTGCCGTATCGTCTTAATTCTAAACTCATTCTTTAGATTTTCCACGACGTTGCGTACAAGGCCAAGGACAGGACGGACATCCTCTCCGGGATCGACGAATTTCTCGACCAAGTGACCGTGCTCCCTCCCGGCGAATGGGACCCCACCATCCGGATCGAGCCGCCCAAGAATGTGCCGTCTCAGGTGACATCACTTCTGTCTCACGTCAGAGCTTTCACCGTCGTTATGAATGAATTAAGTTCATTTTCTCCTGCCCTATATGTACAGTATACGAAACACAGCAGCGACTTATTGTGTATATTTTGTGTGCTACCTGTGTCTTACTACTGTCCTGTGCATTGCAACATTGAAATTTCCCAACTGTGGGACGAATGAAGGATCTCTCTTATCTTATTATTTTGGAGACTTGTACAATTTTACACATTGTTACAGAACAGTAAATCAGAAAGAAAGACCGAAAAGGAGTAGGCTAATGCTAATGCTAATGCTAATGCTAATGCTAAAGCTGTTATGGCAACTCAAAGCTATTTTTACAATCTTGATATTT